GAACATTGCTTTGACAAAGTATGAGGCATACAAAGGACTGAGTATCATGCAAGACACAAAGCGGAGTACCTTAGTGACTGATGATCTGAGATCCATTTTAAAGGGTGTCTGCCTTTTTGTTGTTACTCTTCAGAAATATCCTGACTTTGCAGACTTAAAGACAGGTTTTCTTAACAGTATGTGCAATGTCAGTACCAGCAAGAAACGTATTGCCCTCTGGAAGCAAATGTCCTGAAATAAAAGGCCAGAGGTGGCTTGTAAAGTGTCAGTGAGCTTGAGTCCAAAGCATGATAAAACTTCCATAGGAGAGGAAAACACAAGAACGAAATACGATGGTATCACCTGAGCAACTGGTGATAACACCAGAATGGATACGCAGCCAAGAAGGATGCAAGCAAATTCATGTCTTTTTGCAGCCACAGTGGTAACAGAAAACCGGTCTACAATGCTTCCACCTGGCAGGGTCCTGACTCTTTTTGTGTTAGAAGGAAGACTGCGTAGCCTGGTGTCTTGAGTTGCATGTTGTAAAATGCTGTTCAGTAAGCCCTGTAGCTGTTCCCCTGCATATTACATGAGCCTATAGGAAATCCCCTGAGGAGGCATCTTCATTTGCAGTCATTTACTGCTGAGAATGTCCCGTAACAATTGGTGATCTTTCAGTGAACCACTTTCACCGATTCAGCACTGGTGTGTGGGGTGTTGGGTTCTGATCTACAGGCTGGGTCTGTGTAGCTCTAAGTGTGTGTAGGTGCTTACTGATGTAAATAAGGTGGAAAAACAACTGGAGCTGGTTAGAGATTTTCTATGTAAAGTAGAAGAAGTCATACTGATAATTTTGGCAAATTTGAGTAATTAGACTGTAAGAAGGACAAAAATAGGGGTATTTGTTAGTTAAGTGCTTTACAGAAACTTTCTTTCCAATAGCAGGGAGAACATTTCAAGCAGTATATTGTAGTGCCACATCAGAACACATATATTTTATAAATCAAGAGCCAGAATACCTTGTCTTTAGACTTCTGCCTGCAGGTGGCTGATGCCTGCTGGTGGTAATATGGTCTATGTGCTGGTGCTTTGCTGTTTGCTCTGTTTCCAGAGTAAAAGTAGGCTCTGCTGACTTTTCTGGCTGTGACCTAAATTTGTGTACATGTAGAGGAGAGCCCATGGCAGCTGATGGGAAGGCTGGCACTCGAAGGGCTGACCCATCACTCGGTGAATTCCTCTTTATCCAGGCTCCTCTCATCAGCTTGTTGTCTTCGTGCAGGTCCCAGGTCTGGGATTGTTGCCAGCTGCATGAGGGGTAGCAGTACACGTCAGCTCAAAGCAGAGAGATGGGTCAGGGGCCTCACAGGCCCCAGCTTCTGGGTGCAAGTATGTGTGTGTGTGACTTGGTGCAAGAGAAACAAGCCTTTGCATCTTGTTTTAACCAGATACTGCAAGGGGCGCTTTGCATCTCTGTGCTCTTCCCCCTTGCAAATGGTAAGAGAGAGGACATCTCCCCACGCACATTAGCAATGACTGTATCTTCATAGAGCTGAACTCTGTGTGGGCCATCAGAGCACTGTGCCCACAGAGCTACTGATCATGCTGAATTTGGCTTTGTTCTTTTGTTTGGGAGACTTTGATACTAAAAGCAAGTATCAGTCTGATAACTCTGAGAACTGTAATGTCATTTTCACATAGTAAAGAATACAAATGGGCCCTCTCTGCCCATTTATTCCTGAGTACTTCTGCAAAAGCCTCAATGAGAAAACCAAGCATGAGGTGGAAAGATGTGGCTCTTGCCCCATCTTTCATGCACTTGCGTTGCCCAAAGCAAAGGACAGATGTGCTATTGCCTAGTGTCTCGGGAGTAATTCTGTGCTAAAAACTCCAAAAGCAGCTGACTGCAGAGCAGGGCCCTATGCCTGCATCCCCAGGTCCTAGCTTGGCAACCTGCTAGTTGGCTGTGGTTGTTTCATTTCTAGGAAAGAGACTGATGCTGTTGACCCTAAGCTGTTATTTGCCTAATGAAATACGGGGAACTGAGGGGTGTGAGCTAGATGTGAGGATCTCCAGCTAGCTGTCTTTCCTCCCTCTCTTTCCCTGGAAGAGTTTTGCAAGAATGCCTCAGCACTGCCAGAACACCAGTCCTGATGGCTGGTAGCAACATCCCCACTCCAAGTGTGTTGAATCCTGAAATGCTCTGCACTGCTGTCTGCAACCCTTACTGACTGAAACTGCTCAGCTGGAGCCTTTCTGCCTGGCAGAGGAGCTATGATCTTAATACTCCAGGGTCCCTTATAGCAAGACAGTGTTTTGCCATATGCCCTCAGCCATCCTTTAGTGGTCTTAGGCAGCCCCTCATGTCAGGGTCACTGCCTATGATGCTGAGCCTGGCTGTGACCTCAGCTTTGTGGCCCAGGCAGAGCATCCTGCCCATTTTGACAGGCCTGGGCCACACAGAGCATTGCCTTTCCGCAGGCGCAAGGAAGGTCTGGCTCTACTGATGTCCTGCGTGCCTTCTGCTGCCTTCTCCTGACCTCAACCTGTGCTGCAAGGCCAGATTTCTGGATAGCACAGGGTCTTTTTCTGTCAGAAAGCCCAAATGAATTTGCAGATCACAAAGAAAACACCGTCTGCCTCATTACTGAGCTGCAATCTGTTCCTTCTCTACCCCCCAAGTTATATTCCTCGCCAGGGATTTATTGTTCCTTTTCAAGCTGATGTTTTAATCTCCCATTCCCCAACCTTTGTGCCTCTCATTTCCCTTTCCAGAGCTGCTGCTCTTAATTTTGCCCCTTCTGCCCTTGCCAGCTGGAGTGAGACACTTCCATGGTGTTGCCGGAAGAGAGGAGATGCCCTGTAAACACTGCAATGAAAATGCTCACACAGGGCTGCATGAGTCCTTCCCTTTCCACAGTGCTTCTGTGCCTCTGGGTTTCCAGGTGACATGAAAACCTGGGGGGGAGGCATTGTGCTTGCCCTGACATCTGGGCAAGACAACACACATCAAAAAGAAATAAGCAAGGAGAATGTGTATTTGTGCTACTGTTCCATGCACAGATCCTGGTCAAGGTCCCTCCTGTCTGCACGCTCAACAGGTTCTTGCTCTGAAGAACCTACAGCAAAGCAAGAAGAAAATGGCCCTGTCTGCTTGCTTTGCAGAGATAAATAGCTGGCTGCAGCTGAAACCAAAGGCCTTGGTGACAAGGCCATCTTTTCCTACAAGGCAGAAGCTGTCTGGGAGAAAGGACTGAGGCATGCTTCATTTGAAGAGCTCCTGGAAAAGCCTGACAATTATGTACTGTGGGACATGTACCCTTATACCAATAACCTAAATACTTATGCCTAAGAAGGCCAGTGACGTGGTACGGCAGGGACATAGTGTTTGCGCTCGAGTGCCAAATCTACAGCCCTCCCTCTGTGCTTCAATGTCTTTGGCATGTGCTGTACAGCAAGTCCTTTCCCTCCCAGACAGGGACGTGCTTCGTGTGGTTTGTCTCTGGTGCCTATGTGTCAGCTTTTCCCGCTGAGGGTTCACAAGCCTTCAGTGATGCCATCAGCTGGAATGGAGCGGCTGCTGTGAGTCTGCTCCTTCCCAAGCTTGTCCATGTTGGCTCGGTGGCCGTGACGACATGTGCCATGCGTCGTGCAGCTGCAGGGCCTCTGCACCAGTGGTGAGGCCTCTGCCTGTGCCACACAATGCCTGATCCAGCAGCAAGATCCCCGAGATGCCTCCAAGCCCTCCTGGAAAAACCATCCAGCCATCCCGCTTGGGTGGGAACATCGAGTGCCAGATGCGCCTGCCAGCTTGCCCTGTCTGCTGCATGGCATGCTGCTCCCCGTGGATGGGCAGCCTCCAAAGGCTTTGGCTTGAGCATCCTGGGCTGCTTTCTGCTTGACAGCATGAACAAATTGCAAGACTTTGTGTTGTTCTTTCCTTCCTTACCCTGAAGGTCTAACCCGAAGCCTGCTGAAACCTGTGGAAAGACTTGCGTTCTTTCTTGTGTCTTGGGACTGAAATTGCTGCTTACTTCTCCATCAGCTGCACATCTGTGGTGTTCTGCTAGTGCCTTTTAAAATTGGATTTCCTTAGGATAAAACAGAAAGAATATGGGGGGGGGGGAACACAACAACCCTTTTCTTTCATCTAAAACAGCAGTAGTTGGCTGAGGAGGGATAGTTACAGGAACTGCCTGAATGCAGCAGTCTGCTATCCTCTACCTGCTGCTGAGCAGCCACATGTTACATAGAACCAGTTAAATACATCTGGGATAAACTCTTAATACTGCTCCTATTGTTTTCTCTGTTGATATACAGGATATCAGTATGCAAGGTCCTGCATCCACACTGGGGCAATCCCAAGAATCCCAAATACAGGCTGGGCGGAGACTCGATTCAGAGGATTCCTGTGGAGAAGGACTTGGGGGTGTTGGTCGATGAGAAGCTCAACATGATCCTGCGGTGTGCTCTTGCAGCCAGAAAGCCAACTGTGTCCTGGGCTGCATCAAAGGGAGGGAGCATGTCCAGCAGGTCGCTCCACTCTTGTTGAGGCCCCACCTGCAGTCCTGTGCTCAGGTCTGGGGCACCCAGAACAAGAGGGATGTGCATCTGCTCGAGCAAGTTCAGAGGCCACTAAAATGATCTGAGGGCTGGAGCACCTCTCCTACGGAGACAGGCTGAGAGAGCTGGGCTCGTTCAGCCTGGAGAAGAGAAGGCTCTGGGGAGACATTAAAGCAGCTTCCAGTACCTAAAGGGGGGCCTACAAGAAACCTGGACAGCGGCTTTTTATGAGGGCAGGTAGTGATAGGACAAGGCAGAATGGCTTTAAAGTGAAAGAGGGGAGGTTTAGATTAGACATTAGGAAGCTCTTCACTGTGAGGGTGTTAAAGCACTGGCACAGATTGCCCAGAGAAGTCGTGGCTGCCCCATCCCTGGCAGTGTTCAAGGCCAGGTTGGATGGGGCTTTGAGCAACCTGGTCTAGTGGAAGGTGTTCCTGCCCACATCAGGAGGGTGGAACGGGATGAGCTATAAGGTTCCTTCCAATCCAAACCATTCTATGATATGTTTCATCTTCTTTCTGAATATGCTTCATGGATGTACAGCAAGTGGCCCGATGCATTTTGCGTATCTGCACAGCCACACAATGGATAGCTCATAGTCTGGGGCTGAATGGCACATTCTATTTGATCTGGAATGGAAATTTTCCCAGGTTTTTGCACCAAACTTGTGGTAGGATGCCTGGCAAGTGGTGGCCAAAGTGACACCAGGAAAAGAGAGAGGGTATTTGACAACCTTGGTCATGATGGGTGAGTCCAGTGAGCAACACTGGTCATCACCTCTCTCCTTGTTTGTCCCTGTGCCTCTCCAGGGGTCAGCACTGGTGGGCCAGGTAAGCTGTAAGCAGGGACCATGCCTGTGTGGTAAGCACCTGGCTGGGACCGGCAGCTTGTGCTGGTGAGTTCTAGTACTTTTGGTGGCACAGAGGTCCAGTTCTGAACAGAGCTGAGGAGTATTCCTGACATCTAGTTCATGGAATCATAAGATCATAGAACCAGTTAACTCATCCCAGCAGACCATGCTTCAGTCCCAAGCTTTGACAAGCACGGAAGCCCAGACTGTGGCAGAGGCCTTGTGTCCTGGAAACCCCATCTTTGCATAAGAGGGGAGGCCTGCAGGGTTCACTGGCACTGTGACAGGGAACAAGGCTTGGCCTTGGCTGTGCAGTTGCTCCCTTTGGAAGTGTTTTTCCGTGTCTCAGCTGGTGCAGATTGTGCTGGTCTCAGTGACATGTGGAGACTGTTACACACAGATCGAGCACAGCATGCCAGCTTCTTTTCTGTCTCCTTAGCTGTTTTACAATGACTTCCCAATTCAATTGTTAACATTTTTCATAACTATATTGGAGCAGCTGCATCAGTCTGGAATTTGTACACATGTTCTGGATTTTGCAATGTTTCTAACTCACATGGGGCACCTCTCACAAACTGTTTTCTCCATGGAGAGAATCCTTGAAGCCAGCCAGCATTGCTGATGGTACTGCAGCCCCTGCTGGAGTGATGATCTTCCTCAGGTAACCAGCTCCTTCTCCAGCCTCTGCTGGGTAAGAGCTACTTGCCCTGCACAGCCTCCTCGTTTTCTTTGTCCTTTGTGGCAAGTCTGGGGACAGAAACAAGTACAGGTTTGAATTGCTGGTGCCTGCCCAGCAAGTACCTTCAAGACAGGGCGATGTGGAGAGGATGGGGGCTTGGGATATCCTGGCCAGCATCGTTTAAAGCACCCAGGAGGGGATCTGAGTTCAGGTCTTCCATGCTCAGGATGGTGGCTTCTTGGTGCTGGCCACAGTGACTTCAAATCCCAGTGTCTCACATAGCTACGGCCTCATCCTGCAATGGCGGGTCCTCCTTTTCTCTCTCCATGTGTGTGCTGTGTCCTTGCTGAGCCACAACAGCAAGGAAAAAAAAACACATGGTGTTTTTGAGCAAGTGGCAGCAGAGCCTTGCTGGGCTGACCTGCCACAAAGGAAACCTCCCTCTGAGACACCCTGCAGTGCTCAGATTTGCCTCGGAAGCAGGAGATGCAGTGACCTCTATTTCAACATGAATAATCACAATTGTAGTTCCTGCCCCTCCAGTGATGCAGGTCTTTATTAGACCTGACTGGGGTCTGTAACCTCTGCTGGCTGCAGGTTCTTCCAGCTGCTGGCGTGCTGTGTGAAGTGATGTTCATATTTCCTTCCATTGTTGCTAACTTTACCTGCCATGAATGATGCAATCATGCAGACCAGAAGAGACCACAGGGAAGTTCAAAGCTCAAGATGGGAAAAGGAGGGAGGGAGAGAAAGGAAAGGAACAAACAAACCAAAAAACCAAGCCCAAACCTGAGTTTCTGAGGCTGGAGGTCATTTGAGTGTGGGGCCGAGGGGGCATCACAGACATGCTGGAGGTTTCAGGTTCGAGGGGAATATCCATATGATGCCTTTCACTTGTCAGTAGCGATCTGTGCTTAAGGCATTACAACCCACAGCTGTGCTGAGTCCCTTCTTCATGGAAACCTGAAGTGAAATGAGCCTTGGGGCTGGTGGAGCCCCAGTTGCTGGAGAGGGAGGGGTGGCAAGGACCATCCCCAAAGACAAGTACAAGCTTATCTCTGCAGGGAAACATGAGGCGGGTCTCAGGCATGGTAGATGACATGGCTGTGGGTGACAGCCATCAGCTGTGCATTGGGACGTTCATGGGAGAAGCTTCTGGAACAGGTTACCTGGAGAGGTCAGGGACTCTGGCCTTGAGGTGTCTTAAGACTCAGCTAGGCGAAGCCATGGTTGACCTGAGCTGGTGTTGGCAACAGTCCTGCTTGCTATGGGAGGCAGGCCCAGAGGCACGCAAAAGTCCTTCCCAGCAGATATCTCTATGACTGCACTTACATTAATATTAAATAAACATGCCCTTGTGTTGACTTAACCTTCCCGGTGAGTGTGTTGATCTGGTTTTGTTGACATGCTTGTTCCTAGAATCTGATTCTCACTAAAAACAGGAGGTGGCCTGGTATGTTACCTGAAAAAACATGTGAGTTGTGGTTTTGGTTAGTTTCTGATGCCACCCTTCAGGTTCTGGGAAAGCTGGCAGCAGCGGCACACCCATCCGTGTGATGATACGGTGCCAAATGCCACCGCACAGCAAGTTCTATAGAAGCAGTTATTGGAATAAGACTCCTCCTTGTTTATGATCAGGAGCCTAATGGCCTTTCAGCGTGCATTTCTGCTATGCCTTTGCACTTGAGCTTCTCCTGCAGCTGGTGAGGGCTCGGGGAGTCCAGTGCCAGATGTTCATTCCCTCACCTCTTCTGAGCCATGAGATGTAATAATGTGTTTGTGCTTTACCACCGGCACAATGCAGCACCTTTGAGGGCACAACAGGAGATTCTCCTTTCAGTTCAGGGGTTAAAGCTGTGTCCAAGCTTCCCCCAGCATGGAACATGCTCTGCTCCGATAAGGGCACCCTTAACTAAACCTTTTCCCACTCCTGTGCCCCACAAAGGCTCCTGTCTGGCAGCTGCCAGCACAGCCCATACCCACAGATGGGCTAGAGGGAGGTTCTGTATGTGTGGCAGGGCTGAGAGTAGTCCTGTTTTCCTTCTGGCTGGAGGGTTTGCTGTCTCTCTACAAGGTACTGCTCCCTGTTACCTGTGCATTGTCTTATGGGGGATGAGGTAGTGGTTTTGGTCACAGAAACCCCTCTTTGTCCCCCTTCCTTCCACCAGAGTCATGGGGAACAGTGAGCAATGAATCTGAAATATTGCGTACTAAAATATGAATCCCCATGGCCTAAGAAACTCTGGGTAGGAGCCAGGAAGAGTTAACAAGGAAATGTGTTCCCTCCAGCATAATTGTATGTTTGGCTTGTGTTTTAATAAATGAGTAACAGCTGAGCAGAGAGGCCCAAAGGAGAGAGTCCCCCACCCTGAGATAGGTTAGAGGCAAAGTTCAGGCCCTGTGCAAGTCAGATACTGGGGTGGGTGATTTATCACAGAACACTGAGGATTAGCTATGGGGTAGACAGGGAGCAGCAATCGGAGTGAGAGGCTAATGCAGAAATGAAGGCTTGTTGGCTTTGAATGTTTCAAGGCAGGAAGAGAAGGAGCAAAGCAAGGCACTGTGGTCGAGGGAGCTGTAGGCGTGGGGTGATAAATCAGCAGCACAGCGGTGACGCTAAGGGGGAAATCAGTGTAATATATGAGGCAATATGGAAATAGGGGTTTTATGAATGCAGTCAGCTCCGAAAGGTTTCAGTTCCAGGTGGGTAAAGCAGGGGCAGATCAGGAACCCCCACCAGATGGGGCCCAACATCTGACAATAGCAGAAGCAGAGGAGGGCTTCCTCTGCACTGAGAGCTGTCTCCATTGCAGGATAAACCAGCTTGCATTTATGGGGAATTTCCCCTTTGTGAGGAAAGCTGGTGATGAACATGGCCATTTTGGTATTTCCCCCCTTCAGGATGTGTGAGTTGCTCTTGAAGACCATTTTAAGGAAAGCTTTGGGATTAGTCTGCCATTCAAAAGGGTGGGTGGTTCTGGATGATGGTGCCGTTGGCCTACCAATGATGGGAATATTGGTGTTGGTAAAGCCCCCCACCATAGCAACTCCTCACACCAGCAGCCCCAGGCATGGGTTCCCCAGCGAGCAGCCTGAAGCTGTTAAGCTTGCTCTTGGTAAATCACGAAGCAATGCCTAGGAAGCTATCGTCTGTAGCTCTCAGCCAGGCCAAGAGATAAACCAAGGACCTGGTTCATGGAGGACTTTCTGTTGCAAGGGGGAGGGCTGTCGCGTGTTGGCACTGCCCAGCTCCACATCAAAAGCCCACTAACCCTCAGACCACAGGACTGATTCAGTGTGACAAATTGCTGGGAGGAGGGGGGATGTTCCTGTATTATAGGATTATTGTTATTAATTTTTTATTTGAAATGGTTAAGAAGAATTCTCATTTGGGGAAATTTTGGCTGTACTCTGCTACAGCATTAGGCTTCTCTGTTGGGTTTCTCCTGCTAGAGATGTTTAGATTTATTTTTGTTTGTGTTCTGTCTTATGCAGCTAAGAAAACAGTTTCAAATAGGACAAATTGTCTTGTTCCAGGGAGGAGGTCTGGTCTGGAGAGTGAAAACAGCTTTGCTACTTGGAGAGGCGTCCACAAAAGAGCAAAGCTCTAAGGACAGTTCCCTACATTGTGCCCCACAAGTGGTATTATAGAGCCAAGATGTTGGCCTAAGAAGCCCTTCTATGTGAGACAGTCTCCTTGTTAAGCGGTTTTTCTCTTTTTTTTACCCCTAACATTTATGTGCCCCAGTGTCTGTCCTATGGGTGCTTCTTCTTTGGGTCCAATGGGCAGAGACAAGTGCCTGGGGTATTCCCTTCTCCTGCTTGTAAGAAAGGGAAATCATGTTAGTTCCTTTCACAGGATGCTGGTGAACTTTTCTGATAGTCTTTAATAGTTGGTGCTATAGAAGAGTTGAATTTGTCTTAATCAGGTGTGTGTCTCCCATGTTTGGGTTTTGCAACATGAAAATAAAATGCTCATGAAAAAGCCAATATTCCTGCACAAGATTTGTGGAAAATGAGTTCTGGATGCAAATAAGTGTGAGTTTCTTGTGGCAGTTGGAGAGTGAGATAACATCTGACATCATATAATCTGTACACCTTCTGAAAGTGAATCAGTGCTACGATTGTTAAAACATCTCCACTTGTAGCGCCTGCTTTGGCAGAGTGGTGATAGAAAAGAATTGGTAAACTCGGTGTAGGATATAAAGCCTGGTAGGAAGGAACTGTGAACGCAGCAGGAATTTTGCTGCTTGTAAACCAGGCTCAGTTTAGTCTAATTCCTAGCCAAAGAACCAAAGTGTGGATTCAACACTTTTTAGGTTTTCAATTAAAAGGTCACCATCACATCATCAAGAGGTCCAGGCTCATCACATCATCAGTCTGTTTTCCAGAAAAAGTGACTCTTGTCCAAATGACAGCTGGAAATGCTTAAATGAAATGATAAGTGGTGTGACCTAAGCCAAGAACTATTTTACTGTCAGGGCTTAAAAATATTTTCATTAAGAAAGAAACATTAGGAAATGGCAGTCTTTAGACAGACAACTCATGAGACTAAATTTGTGAAACTGTACAAACAGGACCGGATGGAAATGATTCTTACATTCACACCTAAGGCAATCACCCTGGATTTATTACTGCAGCTCAGGCTGCAAGCCTGTGTCTGATTTATTAATCACTGTCCCTTTCAGTTCCTTAATGGGAGTGGTAAACCAGCTGTAGAAAACTGAAAAGAAGTTGAGCTGCATGTCTTGTCTTTTCAGTCTTTTTCTTGTGTTTGTTTTGGTGTATAAACAAACATCTCTCAGCTCTCCTAACTAGATTTTCTGATTGAGTTCCCAGAACAGACCACCACCAGTCTCATTAAAACTTATTTATGCTGCTTTCATGCATGAATAAAAAAAAGCTTCTGTTCACTGCTGATTTTATTTAGTTAGATCCTGCGCCTTGTGGTGGACATTGAATCAGAGTGACATTTTTGGCACCAAAACAATAAATAAACAGTGGGACTGAGGAGAAAGCTTTGATGCCTGCATCTTTTGCTGTAGGAAAAGGAAGGGGTTAACCTGTTCTTGGCTGTATGGCATTGATTGAGGCCCATACAACGAAAATACAGCTGTAAACTGTTAGGAGTATTCCCTAGTAGCTGGGTGGGTTTTTTTGGGGTATAAGTCACTGAACTGAGATTCTGAAGGTATGATTTGTTTCTCAGGGGTGCCACACACTTCCCATGTGATAGGAGGAGGAAGGTCACTAGTTGTTCTAGGTCTCAGCAGCCCAGCTGAGAATGATGCTTTCTTCCTCCTTTGCTTTTTCTAACTTGCTTGTTTGTATCTCTAGCTTTTCAGCAGTGTAACATCAACTCTGCCTGTGTACCGATCACAGTGGGTCCTGCTCTGTGCTGGGGCCTTTAGGCGCCACCACGAATAACAAATACGATTTTCTCTTTATACTTGTCTCCTTCATCTCCAACCATGCTGCAGTGCCTGTGAGGTAAGACTAACAGCTAAAAATAAATAAAGAAATTGGTAAAGATAAAGAATAAGGGAGTAAAGATCCAGCAGGTGTGAGAAGTTGCGAAATGGGTTTGTTTTTCTCCAGTCCTGCTGGATTGGATGATGAGCTCATGCAAAGGTGCTGTATTTTGGAATGGAGAAGGATTTGAGCCTGTCCTTTAAGTCAAGAGGGTAAACAAAAAGCAGCTTTGTGTATTTCCTTTGTGCTAAGCACATTGTGAATATTCTTAAGCATTGCCACAGGATTAGCATCTCTGCATTTTAATGTGCCTGGTGCTGGAATGCAGCTGGAAAGTGGAGCAAGCAGGAACGGTCTCTCCAGGCAGTAGGCTCTGATAGGTGTTTCTTTGAAGTGCTATTCAATAGCTTTCTGTTACTCTTTCCCTCCTTCCTTCAAGAGCTTCTGGAACAAGTCCTGATAGATTACTGGACTGGACTGTTTAATTTCCAAATGCTTTTGCATGGCAGGAGTATTAAAAAAAAAAAAAAAGGCATGTGGACAGAAGTATGGAGTTTGTTATTTACTTTGGATCGTTAACCTGGTCTGTAAATTTGATTTGATCTCTCCATTTTTTTTCCTCCCCGCCCCCTTTTTTAATTTCAGAGCCTGCAAAGAGGAGCTGTCTTTTGCTGCTTTGGGATCCCAGCAAGAATTGGGGGCCTGATGGATTTTAAAGGCACCTGCTTTATTTAAAGCCCAGCCAAACAGATAAGTGCCCTTTTAATTATCTCACAACAGCATTTTAGACATAGCTGTGTGCAACACCTCTTTTCAGTTGGGTTCAATTCGATAAGCCCTCTGTTTCACCATTGCAAATGAATGCTCTGGGGTTCTCCTTTTGGCTGAGAATTACCAGATGATATCGGCATTTCATGTGAGCTAATTAATTAGCGTCTTAGGGAACTGCAGCTGATGGCTCGGGAAGTTATCTCCCAGGGGTTTTTCCCTGCCCCTCTGGAACTGCTGTCTCCAGCAGCCCTGTGAAGTTTTGGGACTCTGAGGAGCAGCTCCGCGGGACCAGAGGAGGCTGATGCGACTCATCTGAGCCTTGAGGAGTGCTCTGGGACTCATTAGAGGTTTAATAACTAAACTCGGCTGCTTTGATTGAGAAGATGCTTGTGCAGGCTTGTCGCAATCTCAGCTAACACTGCTGGCAGGAGAGAGGGCTTTCTGCATGTGCTGGTCATATGTGTGTGGAGAAAGTGATAACCCTGCTTCTTCCTGACAGTTTCCAGGTGGGAAAATAGCTGGGGGTGGGGGAGAGAAGCCCTTAGTTTTATTGAGTTTATACAGGGCATACAAAGAGGTATCATGGATGACTGATAACAAGAACTGTCCCCTCAATGTTATGGGGACATTTATATCTAAGGGTGGAAAGCACCGACTCTTGAGAAAGTAGTTTCTGGCTGCTTAGATCTGCTTCTATAGGTGACTGCTGCTTGCTTTTGGGCACACCACTGCAAATATTAAGTGAAGAAATCATCAAAATATGATCTCTTGTACAGTGTAACTGTAGTAGTATACAGCCACAAGGCAGGGGTAAATATTCATGATACTGAAACTTAATGAGGTAATGAAAAAAACCTACTAAAGCAGAGTATGTGAGCATTGGAGTGGCTGTGTGGCTGGGACAGGAGCCAAATTATCTGCTCCAGACCTGTCCTGTCTGCTCTACCCTGAGCTCTGCTGTTAATTAGCAGTGTAAAATGTCTAGTTTGGTGTTAGGAATATTACAAACAGGTTTGCTATTGCAAATTAGACTACAGTAACTGATGTGAATCCATCCTACCTGCCTAAGCAGAAGGCGAGTTTCTTGGTGAAGGTGCAAGGCTAGGACTGAGAAAAAGACTTGGAGAGACAAGACAGTGAAGTAGGAGGTTACTGTGGCATGAGAGAACTAGATCTGGATCAACTCGTGTGATCCCTGGAATGTCCAAAGTTCCCTGTTTCCTAGGGAAAGCTTCACTCCTGCTGTTACTATGAATAAAGTTTATATTAATAGAAGAAATGACACGTCGGATACTGATGACTGTCCTCTGTCTTACAATTGAAAACAGTGCTTACTCCTGACTCTTCAATAATCTGATAGGGAAAAGGTTTGACAATATGTTGAGAAACACTGGTAAAATGAAGCCCTAATGAGAAAATCAGGGTTTGTTCATTCAAGCAAGGATGGATAAGAAGTTAAAAAACCCAAACATCTGTATACCCCAACTAACAGAGCAATTTGCTCCTCAAGAAAAGCCCCAAAACCCTAAACAAACAAATTTAAACTCGGAGGTCCTTAAGCTTTTGACTATTGGGTTTGCAACTTGGAATCTGCTTTCTGACAGTGTGCTGGTATCTTCCCCCAAATCAGTTTCCATTAAACTAACCCTAACCTGGCCAGTTCCAGTCTGGGCATCAGAGCTGAATTCGGCAATCATACCCTGAAGTGTGGCATGCAACTTGCAATGCTCTGTGCTCCTTGGCAAAAGAGGCAGAAAACAGTACCTCTTAGGAGCTGTATTGATGTGAGGTGGTGCTGAGTGTGTTATAAGCACTTATGGCTTGGTTGGTGTATCCAGCACCTGAGAAGAAGAGATTCAACAGATCTTGACAGGTTTTTGTGGAAAAAATTGTCTGGAAAAGATGACCCCTGAATCCCTATCTCTCTCCTCATCTTACAGGTGATCTTTGAGGACACTTGGGAGTCTGTAGCTTCTGAATGCATGATCTTCTCCTGGGATTAGAAGAAAGCCATGGGGAAAGACAAGAAGGAACAGGAGCCTGTCTTTCTGAGGAAAAAGATAACTTTGCTGCGGGCTTTCTCACTCCTCATCGGCAGTATGATTGGCAGTGGCATCTTCATCTCCCCAAAAGGAGTGCTGAAAAACTCTGGCAGCATGGGTTTGTCCCTGGTTGTCTGGTTTGCCTGTGGGGTCCTCTCAATGTTTGGTGAGTTGTAAGCTTTGTCATCCTTTGCTTAAGCAACTGGAAAGTGAGGGGATGTAGCACATTTTTATGTATAAAAACTTGGGAGAAAAATAATTCAGAAGTTCCCCGTTCCTGCTGCAATAGAAAAAAAACCATAACAAGCTGGGATATCACCAGGGGTCTTCATTCAAATCATTTCACTGGGGTGACAGAGAAAACCACAGCACTTATGGTTGTGAATATGAAATAATGTTCATGTCCAGGGCAGAGGGGTGACAAAGACTGCAGATGGAGATAGCATGGTCTCTGCCAGGAAAGCTGGGAGAAAAATAAGGGGACTCCTGTCATGCGGAAAGGAGATGCAGGCCCCCAAAAGACACTTGTAAGTCTGAAGGCTGTGCAGTGCTTTTCATAGACACTGTGAAAAGGGCAAGAAGTGACAGTCTTAATATGCCAGAAGGAATCCCCTTTCTGTGGGTGAGGATAGAGAAGCAGATTGCCTGGGGAGCTGCAGAGTATCCACCACCCAGGGATGGGTGTTTGGTTGTCTGTCAGAAATGGTTTGGAAGTGACCGATGCTGCCTTGGAGCAGGAGATAGAGCAGATCAGTTCAGCCCTGCTTTCTGTGTGTTACCTGTGGCTTGGTTTCTGGCATCATTTAGTACCAGTCTTTTCTCACAAAGGGTTAACTTTTGATGACAGTTTCATCCTAATTCTTCTGAAATACTGTAGCTCTTAAAGTTGTGATGGGTAAAATGAGTGGCTTTTAGTTTCCTCTATTAACTGTATAAAATCACCATCTCAGAAATTCTCTAAAGGTGCTGTTAGGAGAACTGCAAGATCTGTCAGCTCTGGGGAGAAATCTGATGTTTATTTCAGTCTGTGACTTTTTAATTCTTCTGTCATAACCTGGGAGGAGTGGGGGGAGAACCCCAAACAACCCAAAACAAAAAACCAAGAAGGGAGAAATACTCCATGTGGAAGAAAACACTTTGGCACTGTGGCATGTACACACAAGTTTAGAAACTGAGACATTCAATTGTCAGTGTGGCAACAAGTGTGGTTCTTACTCTTAGCATATGTGTACCAATATTTCATGTTGCAGCCTATATGTGGGTTTTTTTTGGCAAATTATACACTTTTGCTTAAAGAAAATCTTAATGTATAATGTGAGCACGGTGTTTCTTTTAACTGAGCAGAGCAATAAATGATAATGTGTGTGCTGATCACATAAGGAGCTCTGCTTCCAAATGGAAAGGTTTTCTCTCTTCATTGCATCCTTTGATAGACACTGCTGGAAAGGCTTTGGGAGCCTCTTTATCAAGTGATTGTATTTTGTAGCCTAATCTGTTGGTGTGTTCTTCCCTTTTATCAACTTGATTACTTTTCCTGATTATTTCTCTGACACGTCTTTTGCAGTAAATTAAAAAGGCCTGCTTTCTTTTAGGCTTTTTTTTTTTTTTTTTTCAAGTACAGCATTTATACAAGTCCTATAGCGTAAGTTCAGCAAAGCACATAACTGCACACTTGAATCATGTAAGGAGACCCACTGGAATAAATAAGATGACGTGCCTTTCTCTATTTGACACTTTGAACAGAGATTCTGCACAGATTTACCAACAAAAAGGTGGGGAAAAATTGAGGTCCTCACCACTGGCATGACCTGCATATGGCACAATCGCCATCAGACTTGGAAGCATGGCCATATCACCACTGGCTTCCTCTGTGCCCTCCCTCCACTGCTAGAAGCTGAGCTGGGCAAAGAAGTATATAGCACAGCTACAGACGTACTCACCCCACAGGGTCAAATCCCATTTAGAGGGGGAGTTGTGCTCATAGAAGTAAGGTGTTTTGAGATTTCTGGTGGACAGAGGATGTTTAACCTTGCAATTGAATCCAGTGTAGGCAGGGCTTAAAACTTGTACTTGGATATCTTCAAATGGCCCAGTGAATTGCTCTATGGAGAAAACACAGATGGGATTTTTTTTGGCACAGGCAGAGGCATGCAGGTTTCTATCTACTTTCCTAAAAGCTTTAAGCTGTCTTCTATGGCTTACCTCTCTCATGGTTTCTTGTTGGGCTCCAGAGCAGGGGCAGGGAGGCACAGAGCACTTGCTAAGACAGGAACAGGCAGTCCCCAGGTCTGTCAGTACACTCATATATGGACATGCAAGAAAAGACCAACTGAGTCTGTCATGTGGACACTTCTCTTGCTCTCCACCATTGGGGTTATGTTTCCCTCCAGTGCCAGGTCTTCCCTCTTCACCTGGAAGAGAGATGCCCTTCCAGGTCCCCTCTCTTGTGTCTTTGAAGGAAGGGATTTATGTGAAGTTATGAGATAATGACATAGGAATATGGTCTGTGGTCAAAAACATGACTGAAATGACCAGTTCAGCCACGGCCATGGCTGAGCTGCTGTAACTGCACCATTTCACCAGTCTGTGAGAAGTGAGAATCCAAACTTCCAGGACATTTTTCAAAGAGAACCTTTCATAGCTTAGTGCACTGTCTCCATCATACGTGTTTCCACATAACTTCCACGGAAAAGCTGCATCATTAACTAGAAAATTGAGAATTTTTTTCCTTCTGACAGAAAAGTTGATTACTTCAAAACACTGTAGCACACAAAAATAGGGAAGAGTATTTCTGCTATTCCAAATTTTCTTCCTCTAATTCCCTACTTATTTTAAACAGATTCATTCAATCCCTGAAAAGTTATACAGAAAGGAGAAAATCCATGGGATGATTTACTCAGTGCATTCCTACCTGAACTTTTACAGGTGCCTTGTGTTATGCAGAGCTTGGAACGAGAATCACCAAGTCTGGAGGACATTATATCTACATTTTGGAGACACTAGGGCGTCTGCCAAGTTTCTTATTTCTGTGGGCAGAGTTTTTTGCTATTAGGTAAGAGGGTTTTTTGTTTGCCTTTTGCTGGATGCTGTGATGATTTAAAAATACCCCAAAGTTACTGTGCCAGGTAACAGTCTAGGCAGTTTTTAAAGGAAAGAGTAGAAACAATCTGAACAACTTTTAAAGATTTACAGTGATAAAACAAGAAGGCATCATGAGTTAATAGTTACGCATGTTCAATGTGATCTGTAGTCGAAGAATATCTCTATTCTCCCTTGGCAGCTGGTATCCTGCAAGAGCCATGGTATTTTTTTTAGACTAACAATGAATGCCAGGTTTATTTCAGATTTGTTTTCCTGTGAAACTTTCTCGGATTGTCCTGTGGAGACAGCTTTCTGGCTCAGCTTTCTGACTTTCTGGCTTTCTGACTTAATATTTTAGAAACTTGTAAATTACTTCTTTTTATTAACTTGAAAAAAGAAAGTCCTCACCTCTCAATAACCTGTGTCCTTCACATAAACTGAGATGAAGAAGGACATATTAACCCCACTGCACTGCTCAGTATGATTAATCTTGACTTTTGCTTTCAAGTTGGAAATGAATCTTTTTGCAACATGTGATTTTTAACCCATTTACTGAGAAAAACCAATGGGAATTTACCATCTGCATGGGTCAGCAGGATTAGGCTGGCTGGTGAAACCTCCCCTCCTAAGTTTTGTGCTGTTTTATATCATGCCATTTCTCAGCTGTCTGCAGACCACAGCTTGTGCTCGGTTCCCTCCACAGGCCTGCCAACAGTGCTGTTATTTCTTTGGCGTTTGGAAGCTACATGCTGGAGCCATTTTTTGCCCCCTGTGCACCCCCTGTCCCTGCTGTGAAGCTTGTGTCTCTCCTGGGGTATTGTAAGTACTAACTGTTATGGGACTGCTGATCTTGGAGCCTCTCTGCCCCAGACCAGGGGCACTTATGGGGTGATATGTTCTGGGATAACTGTGGGATGGGGCCCCATGTTACGTACTCGGCCACCCAAAACTTCCTTATCCAAGGTGCTGTTTTGAGGCCACTATATTCTCCAAAAAGTGGAATAGGCCTCCCTGTTGACCACCTATTGCCTGAGGCTGGAGGATTGTGCCAAATATCAGCGTAGCAGCTCTTCATGAATAATTGTGCAAATGTCACCTGGGTTGAGGGTGTAAGGCTCAAGGTTTTGAACTCCTCACCTCGTGTACCCAGCCTGTGAAGCTGTCCTGCCTGCTCTGGCTGGTGTGTGCTGGCACAAGACCCTGGTGAAAGGGGGCTGCTGGGACAGATGTCCCTGCAAACTCCCACTTTCCCCCTAGGTAGGCATGGAACACCCAACAGGAGCCAGGCTCCTGGTCCCACCTAGGAGCAGAACCCAGCTCCCCCTCCAAATGCTGTATGTTGCACCACGCGTCATATTTTCTCACATCTCTCACCACAAGCATCCTCTGCAAGGACACAGCCTTCATCTCCCTGTCATCCCTAGAGGAGGGGTGCTGTATTTTTTCTTGCATGCATCGAGCATGGTCTACAGCTGTGGCAGTGTGGTCTCCTCTCCAGACATGATCCTCGCCCTCAATTCCTGGAGCGTCACCTGGAGTGGCCAGCTGCAGACGGCTCTCTCTGTTGTCAAACTCCTGGCTCTTGCACTCATCATCGTGCCAGGGATGATGCTGCTTGCCAAGGGTAGGTGTGCTGCTGTGTGGCTGAGAGAGGGTGCTCGACATGCCTGCCTCACACGGCTTTTATCAGTCCCCAGTGACAAGGTATTACTCGTTTAGCTGGCAGGAGCCTTCTCTGCCTTTGTGCTGGGTATGAATCAGCTGGAAGCTGAGACCAGCGTAGTTGGCACTAAGCTGTATCGTTGCACTTATGAACTTGGCTCAGCAGTGCTTTCTCCAAACCTGAGTGAGCCTCAGTGCCTGAGGCAGTGTGAGCCTGCCCAGGGTCATACAGGCACCTTCCTCTGCAGGCAGTCTTTCTTTGGCATCAGACTGGCCTGTTTACAGTGTGGCTTGAAATCCTTCCAGAACAGCGCAAATTTGATGGACATCAGGGGTGTGTGACAGCATCCCTTGGTGACCTGAGCGAGTCACAGCTGTGTAATGAGTTACCACCCCTCATAGATGAGCCCTGGTCACAGCATCTCTAGCCCTTCTGTGGCTTAAGCTAATGGTTTTTACTTTCTAATTGAGAAGAGTGGTAACTTAGTAAACTCACAGTGGGTTTTTGCCAAGTTAGAATTGCAGACTAGATTGCCTACTCACATCCAGAGCGGGGAAAAGAAACAAACCTGCCAGTGGTATCTTCTGGGAATGATTCAAGAGTATTTTTAAGTGCCTCAGTTTATAGAAAAGCCCAAGGCATTCCCGCTCAAGGGATAAAGCTTGCTCCTGTTTCATGCTATTACCTTCCTCTGCAGAGAAACAACACAGGCAGTAGGCTCCACGTTCTTGTTTCTTTCTAATGTCTGGTGCTGGCTCCTTTGAACATGCAAATATCCCCTTGGGCTGGCAGCACTTCTGAACTGGAGGACCGCCCTAAAGCTAGAAATCCTGAGCCATTATTGTTAGGAATGCCTTTAAATGACAATCTGGAGCCTTGGCACCCGTCCTCCAGTGAGGAGGATAAATGCCTGTGACATCTGGAGGGAGAATTCACGAAGAGACCTCAATATGACAGGTTGTATTTAATGTGATTCATGAGGGACTCTAAATCACTCATTAATGTAATGCAGACAATAAATCCTTTTTATGCACCATCACTTATCAGCAGTCATTTTAGAACATAAAAAAACCTACCTGGATAGTCCCACTCCCATGTTTTTGTTTCATTTTCTTCAAATCTATTTCCTTTTTTTATTTTTTTTTTTTCCTTAAAAATCGATTTTGTGCTTTTAAATGAGTTTCCCCTATTCCCCTGCCTTCTTGTTCTTCTTTTTCTGGTTGCACTCATGTCATTTCCTCTGCCATTACCTTTCTTTTGGCTCAGGTTTATTTTAGAGACTTGCTGGCCCAGCGTTTCAAACCCAAATGCCTAAATCTCATCACAGACCTCCTTGCAGAGGCACTTTCACAGAAGTGGCCTGAATCCCTCTATGTGCTTGGTTGCCATTCCATCCCTTTCCTGGAGAAGCACAACTATGCAAACTCTGCATCTTTTACTTTTAAAGATACTTTGTTAGGAAGAACTGAATATAGAAGTGGAACCAAATCTTGGACCACCTGCATTTGAAAATGCAAATCCTTTGACTGAGTTTTTTATTGGTCTTTCTCTGAATGAGAGGCCATTAGGTGTTTCTTCCTTCCCTAGGGGTTTGTTTAGTTTTGGAGTTTGATAAAATAAGGCCAGGCTGGAGAGAGCCTTGGGCGACATGGTCTCCTGTGAAGCATCCCTGCCCATGGCACACGGGTTGGAACTGGATAATCTTAAAGTCCTTTCCAACCCTAACCTGTTCTATGGTTCACATCCAAAATCCCAACTGTTGCTATTTCAAGCAGAGAATTTTTAGGAAAACCGGGGGAGTTGGTAAAACAGGACCTTTATCTGAGCCTCATCTACTTTCAAATTATATTTGCTCTGCTTTGTGTATCCTCAGTCCTTCCACTGTTGGTGAGCCTCAGGAGGTGGGCAGGGATATTGCCAGAACAGGTGGCCAGGCTGTTGGCTCCCACTCCCTCCTCCGCCCTGGTTTCCATACTCTGGCCAGCATGGGGCTGGGGTCAGCCCTTTGGCAGCAGGATCAGGAGGGAGCACAGAGGGAGTCAAATTAGCCGCCTTGCTGGCTGTACCACATCAAAGAGGAGCGTGCATCCAGCTGCTTAGGGAGCCTTGGGGGACAAAAAGGGGGGTCAACCTGGCAAATTAACTTGGGACCTAAAGAAAAGACAAGGACAACTTAGGTCCACTCATCTCCACAATTTCCTGCTGCCACAGCAGGCTCCGCCTGAAACAGAACCAGATGTTGCCCTTCCTGAAATGTCTCCTGTAGCTGGATGGGGAATGGTTAGTTCTGTCACTATGAAGTAAGTGCATTGGTACAGCATTGCAAATTAAAACAATGAAACGAATCTGAATACCTGGCTCCAAGGAACTCACACTCTTCCTTGGTCTGGGCAAGAGGTACAAGAGGTGTTATCCTGTGGGAAGGAAGCTTATCTCCGATATTTCCTTGCTCTGTGTCCATTGTTTATTTCTTCTGTAGGCCACACTGAGAACTTCGAGGATGCTTTTGACAGACAGTCCCTGGTTTTGGATAAACTTCCCCTGGCTTTTTATGCAGGCATGTTCGCGTATTCAGGCTGGTAGGTGTGAAGGGTGGGTGCTTCATGGGCAGCAGACTGGTGTCCCAGACATGGCTCAAACTCTGTCCCTGTCTCTTCCCACCATGCAGGTTCCAGACCAGCTTTGTGCGTGAAGAGTTGGTCAGACCTGAACGGTAAGGCTGGGAAGAAGTCATCTTGGGTTAGCAGCCTCTGGGGTACCATGGCTTTCATAAACACAGTATGAGAGGAAATACGTTTGTGGGTTCATCTAAACAATGTCAGCTGCAATTTGCGGTAATACTGTGCATAACAAGGAATAAGAGCTTGTTCTTTGTGTGCATTTCTTGTAGAAACATCCCCCTGGCTGTCATCGTGTCCGTGATCACAGTAATTGTGGGGTACATGCTCACCAATGTCTCTTATTACACAGTCTTGGAAACACAAGACGTTCTGGCTTCTCCTGCTGTGGCTGTGGTGAGTTGTCACCCCTACCATTACCTTTCTTCAGTGTGGTCAGCTTATACTGAAGGGGTGGTCATGGCAAGTGTTTTGGAGATGGTTTTCCTATAAAATGCTTTATTGCTTTCTCATTTCTCTGGATTATTGGGTAACAATAACTTCTTCTAGTCTTGCCTGAAAGATAATGGAAAATAACCTGCAGTGACAGTAGAAAAGGTAAGATTTATGTGTTATGTTTTAGTCCTTCAGTGGAGGAATTTTTTCTCTTTTGAATCTGATATTGCCTAGAGATCGCCACATGTTCCTAAAGTCACATTTGTTCTTCCTCCAGAGCTTTGCGCAACAAGCCTTCAAAAGCTTGACCTCCGTAATCCCTATCCTTGTCTCGCTGTCCTGCTTTGGAACCATGAATGGAGGAATCTTCACATTTTCAAGGTTGTGTCCCTAAGAATTTATTAGCTTTTTGGCTTACTTTATCAGAGGGAAACACCAGCAACTTGTGCAGCTGCCCATCCATGCAGTAACATTTTAGCTGCCCATGAGGGAAAATAAGGCCTTTGACTCCTGGGATGTCAATTACATGATGATCCCTTTTGGCTAAGAGTTACCTTTTCTACTTCTGGCCAGGTCCACATTTTGGTGTCTAGGGCTGGTCACAAACAGATATTCTAACTTCTTCCCCCCTACTTCAGTTTAAACCCCTAGTTTAAAGTGAAATGTCAATGTTTCTGATGAACTGGAAGCTTTGTTGGTGTTGGCAGCTGCTCAGAGAGACTGAGTCATCTTTTGCTAGGTTCACTTAGCTGCTCCACTGCAGGGCACAGGGTCCTTCTCTTGTGAGGATCTCTGGCCAGAGGCAAACTCTCCCTTGAGGACTTTGCTTTGAGGTCAGCAAAATGTTATCAGAGACAAGCTATTCCTAAAGCAGTAGTTGAGGCTCAGCAAGTCTTGTAGCAATAAGAAGAGCTTTGTTCCATGAAAAAAATATCTTGCCAGCCTCACTGGCTGCTACACTGCATATGCTTATGGGAGCCTTGAAATTGGAGAGTAGGGCAGAACCCAGGGAGAAGCACAGCATGCTGGTCCCAAGGAGCTGAGCGAACTCTCTGGAACTAGTTCTGTTTCACAGCTTTGATTGCAAAAGGAAAAATCCCTTGATAGGAAAGGGATGTATCATAGCACAAAAGGTAATGAGCTATTTGATCCACTACCCTGAAGTCCTGTATTATATACAAGTGGGGAGAATCCTCCCCGTTAGCTCCTCTAGATCCTAGTTTTCTTTGAGGATGAGAAGTCCCTGGGCAGCACAGAGATTCTGCATATCACTATCGCCTTTCTCTCCCCCATCTTGGCACCATTAACATAATCACTGCAGAAAGGCCATATAAATAGTGATGGGGCCTCCCTGGCTGTTGGCCAGTCACACCCCTGCAAAACCACAGAGATAGCTATAAAACCAATTTTACACTCGTGCCCCAGCTGCTTTGGGCCCTGCTCCAGCCCAGCTGATGCTCCAGCATGGTTTGTTTGGGGATATTAAATTTATAAAATTAGATGCAATGTCTTCTCCCTAATTGCCCGTTCGTGAGTCAAAGGAGAGATGCAGGCAAGGAGATCTGTCATTTTGTAGCTGGCCTCTCGGCATTATGCCAAGCTATATTCTCCAACAGCTGGCCAGAGGATTGAAATCTATTATTTGTGGAAACTGCACTTTATTTTCCTTTATATATATATTTGAATATATATTTTATGTGCTATATATATGTTTCTATGTATTTTATATATATAGAAAAATATAGACATGTAGACTGACAATCCGTTTTCACAAATTTATGATCTTCTCTCATTAAGAATTGCAGTTTGTCACCCCTTCACTCCCTACTGGAAAAACTAGCCCCTTCTCTGATGGCAGAAACTTTTTTGCTTCTATTTCCTGCCCAGACTCATTCATGATCACTTTGGACCTGCCCGCAGGTCTCTGCTAACTGTCCACCTGAGGGCATGCTGCCAGTGGTCCTGCTGGTGGGTTCTGTGCTGAGTTGAGCTTTCCTGGGAGAGCTATGGGAATTCAACACTGGGCTTTTCTACCAAGTTCCCCAAAAGTGTGGCTAAAGCCAGACCCGTGCTGGGGGACAGTATCCTGTGGCCTCAGGTCAACCCAGTGACTGACAGTGATCTTACTTCCTCTGGAAGTGTGGTGCTAATGCACAGGGCTCCCTGTCTTTTCCTAGGACCCTGTTTGTGGCTTCCAGGGAAGGACAGTGGCCTCCTCTCTTCTCCATGATCCACATCCGAAGGCATACACCCCTTCCTGCTGTCATGTTAATGGTAAGGAGACCTGACTGTGTTGCATACCCTGTTGTTGCAGTCTTGTCTTTCTTGCAAACTTGTGGAAGCTGAGGAGTTTTAAAGTATGTTGACACTAAGTCAGCCTCTGAAAAACAATGAAGGAGGAATACTGAAAATGGCTGCATCTTGTGCCAGCAGCAGTATCCAAACCTACTATCTCGAAGTCCCTGCCTTATAGCCTTGGGCAGCTTTTTTAAAAGTGCATCCCCTACCATCTGCCACAGTTGCTGATTGATGTTGTCCTATGAAAACACCTCTTAGGCTTTGGCTATTTGGAAAACTGAAATTCCCAGGTGTAGTGGAAATGCAGGGAAGGAGCATTTGCAGAGGTGCTCTCAGCTGGGCTTTATGGTTTCCTTTTTTCTCTCAGGAATGGTCCACCTTCGTCCTGACTGTGTTGCAGTGCCTCTCGCAGGTTGACTGACCTGCTAAAAACTTAGCAGAGATCTTTGTAGGTAGCCTTTGTGCTGGCAGTGGAGTCTTTTGGATCATGCATGCTTGGGACATAAAGCATCAAAGATGCTGTTGATCTTGAAAGGATTGCTCCTTTCTGTAGCACATCATTATAGTGTGTTTAGGCCTTTTGCCTTCAGTCTGTGACACTGTTTTATAGAGCTCTCTGACCTCTGAAATGTTGGGGCTGTGAAGTAGCTGCCTGTGATTGCAGGGGGACTGGAGGAGGTGAACCATATTACCCTTTTCTAGCCCGAGGACCACAGTAAGTTTTTAATGACTGTATTTTATCTTCACAATGGTCAGTTCCCTTTGGTTACTACCATGGTGTGTATCGGAGATATCTACCATCTATTGAACTTCTTCAGCTTTTCCCGATGGCTCTTCATAGGATTAGCCACCCTTGGGCTCATCATCCATCGCTACCGTCACCCAGAGCTGCAGAGCCCGTTCAAGGTAACACACAGCATGTATCTAACAGCCAGGAATGTGCACAGACTTGACATTTCTCTCTCTTCTATTTGCTAATAATTAGAGCATTGCATGGTTGTGGTTGCCCTTAGGCTCTAAGGAGTCTTAATACCTATTGCTCAGTAAGGCATGTGAGCAGCTCTTGAAATTGGTTGGCATGTGTGAACAGCCAGATGTGGTCAATTCTATAAAGCTGGTTCTATGTAGTGTCAGCAGTCACATCTGTAAAATAGCAGCCTGCTCCAGGGGGCAAAGTTTCAGGCTAGGAAGTGGGAGATACACAGAAAGCAGCTGGACACTCATCTGTCATGGGCTGCATGGAGGGACCCTTGCCTGGGTGTTATTTCAGTGGTAGGTAAGTCAGCTCTAGCTGAGAAGTGGGAGGGAGTCAGGCCACAAAGAAAAGAGCATGGCCAGAAGAATCCTGGGAGCAAACCTGACTTGAGGGGAATCATCTGCAGACACAAAAATATTGTATAGTGTAGAGCAGCTTGTGTGCAACTGTTGCTGCCACAAGCCCTGAGGGTGCGCACAGCACATAAATGCATGCCACAAAGTGTAAAGCACCTTGTCCTCTTATACCTTTCCCTAGCCTCAACTGGGCCTCTCTGGTGGCCCTTCTCATGCTTCTGGGTGCTGGAATCCTCTGCATTGGTGGGAGATGCTGGAGTTGGTGCTTGAACAGCTTTCTTGTGCTCAGGGCACCTTTCCTATCGCTGCATAATGTGCAGAAGGTGTTTGGCTGGGGTAGTTTGGCTTGCAGTTTGTTCCCATCTGGTGCCTCCACCCAGCTCTTGCATGGGAGAGGAGACTTCTTTGCTCACAGATGCTGTGCTGCGGGTCAGTGGGAAGCTCAGGGGACAGAAATGCTTCCTACATCTCCCACAGGGTTCCTCCCTGAGCTGTTCAAAGCCTGATGCAAAGTTTAGGGTGAGTTTTCTTCTTCGTCTTTGCTGGAGACAACGTGTTTTTCAGAGACCTTGTAGCTTTCCTTTTTGCAGAGACCTTATAGCTTTCCAGTTTAATGGCTGGCTGCATTCGTGTACTCATGCAGAAACAGAATTTAAATAACTTTTCTTTTTCTTTTAAACCAAGCTCTCAGGGGAAGCTTATTAGTGGATAGCACTGGTGATGTTTTCAGTTGCTGACATTTTGCCCCATTTATTTTAGACAGATGTCGTGATTCAGATGAGAATTGGGATTTTAACGGTTCACAAAGGTAGATTAAGTGAGGGAGGGAAATGCTGGAAATTTAGTTCGTTTGGTTGTTTTTTTTCTCCCCTCTCCCTAATTTCCATAACCTCTTGAAACCAGCCGGACAGTTATCTGGAAGAGCTGAACGCAGGTGATGTGGGCATATGCTGCGCTCTAGTGGCCAGATACAGGTCGTCTTCTGCCGTAGGCTTACGGAGAGCGAAGCATTAAATACCTTGCGGTTCTGCTAGTACTTTTCTCCCCTATAGCATTTTGAGTTTAAAAATGGTGAGAAAACACTGGAAAGAGGAGGAAGTGGTGCTCTTGCACACCTCTCAAGCAGATGTGCAGCGTGAGTGTGTGCGCACAGGAGAGGCTGGCAGGGGATGCTCCATCTGGAAAGACAGCAAGAGCAAGTAAGTTTGGTGGCTGGATGGCTGCCACCTCTAGGGCAATTGATCTCTTCCAGCTTGACATGGTCCAAAATAGGAATTCTATTACCAGAAAAGAGATTGCCACCCTAGATGAGACCAGCAGCTCCTTCATTCCATCAGCCTTGGCAAAGAGTAACTTGACTGAGGTTGGATTTGAAGACTGAGGACATATTTCACACATTTATTATTTATTGCAGTCTTACACTTTACTCTCCAAATAAATCAGACAAATTGGCCCAACCAACAGGGCAAGGCTGAAGTGCTGACTGCTTCTTTGGTCTTTTCATCAGGGCATTGTTGAAACTCATGTTCTTAATGTAGGTGCTATGAAGATAGGAAGTCTGGTTTTGGTCACTATATGTCCCTGGCAAGGTGGAGGCAGGTTAAAATGAATCTCGAGTGTCATAACTGAAAAATGGTTTGGTTGAAAGTGCTGCTGCTGCTCTTGACTTCAGATTTTCCACCAGCAGCTGCCACACATGACAAGTCAGTACGTGTGCATATGCATGTACAGGAGCAGCACATTCAGAGAGCAGTGAGGTATAGCTGCCTTCTCCACCTGCTTGGCTTCCAGTTGCAGGTGAGGTTCATACTTTGATTCACGTGACTCATGCATCTCACAGGGAACACTGGGCTCTGAAGGTGGTACATGTCAATTTTTGTTCAATGAATTCTACTAATTTGCAACTGGTTGTACAGAAGCAGTGAGCTGGGCAGCTATGTGATTTATCTTCTTTAAGATGGAGAAGTGAATATGGTGTGTACTGGTACATATGGAGGCTGATTTGCTACAGCCATCAATTTTGCCTGTTTTCTGTGCTCTTTTCCCCAGGTTCCCCTGTTCATTCCCATCTCTTTTACCATCATCTGCCTCTTCACAGTGGCAATGTCTTTCTACTCAGACCCTGTGAACATTAGCATCGGATGCACCATAGTTTTAAGCGGTTTTCCAGTCTACTACCTCATAATCCACAAGCAAATGTCAGATTGTTTCCGTAGCCCATTATGTAAGTATGCATTTGAGATTGAGTATTGTGGACCTAAAAGCACACCCAGGGGTGGGGATGTTGGTTTGGTCTCAGCACCTCTAATGCAAGTTGCTCCACAACCAACAGAATTCAAGAAGCATAAGTCATGACTCCTACCATAAGACACATTCTCTGCAGCCAAAAAGCTAAGGGGGTAGGCTGTGCTGCCTACCTGTGCTGCCTATCTGTGGTGGTTGGCACCCAGGCATGGACTTTGTCTGCCTGGCTGGTGAATATACTGACAAGTGAGCTTGATGTTTTCTTTTAAGAAAGACAGGGCTGACGTTTATCAACAGGCAACAGGGAGGGTTGTTTTCACACCCCAACCCTTGGGTTCTGTTAAACTTATCATATCTTCAGGATCACCACCTCTTAGTCAAATTTGCCTCACACTGAGGAATAAGATCAGAAGTTAGGATGGAGAGACTGACAGGCAGATACTGTAAACCTGTGCCCAAACATACTTGCTGAAAGGTTGGGGAGAGGACTAGTAGGAGAAGGCAGTGCTGCCTGAGGGCTGTCTGTTTCGTGAAGAAGCCAGGATGGTTTGTGGCACAGATGTGGGTGTATGAATGAGAGACATCTCCACTATTTGCAATGTCTAGCACAGATTTCCTTTGGGTGTAGCTCTGGTGGCATAACCTTTTCAGAAACAGGAGTCCAGTTTTGAGTTTAATTTATAATTTCATTTATGAATCTTTTTTCTCTTGATCTGATGTTGGGCTGAGGTGTATCTGTAACCACTGAACTGAAGAAAACATACAGCAAGAAAGGAAATGGATACAGTGATCTACTAACTTAAGTAGCTCCGGCCAGCAGCTGATGCTCTGAGTTTTAGCCGTATCTCAAGACTTCCTCTGGACTAAACATTTTTCTTTCTCCCCTCTTTCAGATTATCTTACACATAAACTACAGTTACTGCTGGAAGTAGTCCAACAAGAAATCAAGACTTACTGAGAAAACCATCAGAACTCACACGAGAATGTAAAATCTACTTACTTCGTTTCTGATACCTTTGATCCTACCAAAAGCAGGCCATGGTACCGTTCTTTTAATTGCTGCAAATGAGGATGAGCCTGAGCCAAAACCTTGCTGCAAGTCTTCCTAAGTTTGCTTAGGAACTGGGATGAGTGCATCGCATCTCTTTCTGCCCCCCCCCCCCCCCCCCTTTTTCAGCAGAACAATCTAATTCTGTGAAATGAGTTTGCTTTGCCCTCAGAGTGTCTTCAAAACCAAGATCCTATTTTGCAGCCTAGCCCAGTCCTCAGTAAAATAGTGTATGTGTGTGTATACTCACACTATCTTTTAGTTTTCTAACTTGGCAAATAGAGGGAGGGAGCATGTTGCAGACCTTAGAGTTCAATACATGGAAGACAAATGCAGGTTTCAAACCGAAATGCTATAGTAGCCATGAGGTGGACAAGTATTAAGAAAGGAAATGTGTGGGGAGAATAAATTAGATTTAATGTAGATGAATTGGAAAGTAAGAGGCAGGGGGATTAAACTTAGTTCACCAGAAAGCAAACCCTTTGAAATTTAAGTATTAACAAAGTAAGGTGAGCATGTTTTGCTTTGTTTTATTGCATAAGCAGAATAAGCTTATTTTGTTTTGAAATTTAAATTTTCAATTTTCAATTTTATTTTTCTGAAATGACCTTTCAAAATGCATAAACATATTTAAAAAAAAAAAAGTTAAATATTAACAAGAATATAATAAAGTAGATCCTGACCTTTCCTCCACCTCCCTAGGCCTGCTCCTCACCAGTGAAGTTGAAAATTCAGATTTTGGCCCAACTCCAGTGACTTTCATTTTCTCCTTTACTTAGACAAGACTTTAGTTAGGTGAGACTTGGGCAGATTCCTGAATGCGTGCATCTTTTGGTGCTGTAAGAAGACATGAAAGACTTCATGTCAGAGCTTTAACTTCAAATATGCAGTCAAATGGCTTGCTGAATCAGTACGTAAATGCTTATTTGAACTATTGACATAAGAAAGGTTTCCATTATTAACATGTCAATGTTATATCCAGATAAAACAGCAACAGGCTATTCCCAATCAGTTAACTGTTAGTCTTTTCCTAAAAAATGGGTACCAGTATGCTAAGACTCTTCTAATGGTGACTGGAGAGACGAATAGCAGAACATGGAGCTTTTTTAATCTTTTGTATCAAGCATTTATGTACTTAGAGTAAAACCAAAGTACAAACCCAATGTAATCTACTGAAACTTGTAAAATTCACCATCAAGATTTGGAACTAAATAAGTTGAGGTTGGGTTTTTTTTTTTGTTTTTGTTTTGGTTTGGTTTGGATTTTTGTTCTGGTTTTGTCTGGGTTTTTTTCAAAGCAATTGAGAATAATATTTCTTGTTATGACTGCTTCCTGTTCCTTTGCTGAGTTAAGCTGGGATAGCAGCACTGTGGTGGCAGGGCTTGTTGCTCATTTCTCCCCTCCCCTCCTGCAGTTGAATTTAGAAGCTGCTAGATGTTGTCCAACAGGAAATCCAGTCTTACTGGGAAAACCATCACAACCTACTCAAAGGTACCAGCTTTAAATGATAATGTGGTTTCAAATGAGAGATGGAAATGTTTTCAGGCTCCCAGACATGGGTTGCTTCCCCCTTGCACTGGACTTTGCTGAAGCTGGAGCCCCTGGCACACCTTCCCACAGCATCACAATGACCAGGCTCTGCTGTGGGTGGCTGGGGAACCAACCTGCAAAAGACCAACCTGCAAATGACCAGGTGAGCCCCATCACCCAAACATAGACTGAGTCCACCCCCTTAGGTACTGGCTGGGGGGATATTCCACATCTTGAGATAGAAGCATGAGGTGCTATTAGCCTGGTCCTGTGCTGCAGGACCCCTGAGAGCACAGTGTGCCCACACTGTAGCATCAGTACTCATACGCATCAAACCTTGGAGCAGTCCAAAATTGCAACAGAGCTTCTGTGTGTCTGCAGATAAACACATGGAAAGGGTGAAGCAGGGAAGCATCCCTTTTCTTGTCCATTTCCTCCAAAGAGGAAAAGGAAATAAGAATTGAAATTCCTGAGAGGAGAAATAAGTAATCCTGCCCATCGGACAATGGTTATTTTATACAGGATAAATCATCTGATGTATGCAAAGAAACAACACTAGGGTGCCTCTGCTGACTATGCAGGAATATAATCTTGCAGGGCTATGTGTAGGATGTCTGCTCTAAGATCTATCAGGTACTGGAAATGCAGACAGATGTAGTACCACAGTTAGAAATCAGAGGTTCAGCAGCTCTGCAGGTGACATTGCAGTTGAAAGTGACAAAACTAAAACGCACGGTGCTCAGGAAATATCAGTTCACAGTGAGCTCGTATCCAGTTTGCAGCAAGTTGTGTGTGTTTAGAGAGGATGGTGTGCTGCTGCCAGAAAAGCCATGTAAACATTTTCTACCAAGCCAGAATGTTTTTCCTAGAGCTGGTATCTCATGCCTGCTGAAGCTCTTGGCTTCAGTTCAGGAGACTATTTTACTACAGAATTCACATATGCTAAAGTAAACCTGTGGGACTTGATCCTATAAATCTCATCAGTCAAAGGGAAGCATAAAAGGTTGTGCAATTTTGTAGCTGAGAGCCAGAAACTATATGGGAGGTCAAAAGCCAGTCAAGAAAGGCCAGATGGGGAAGAAACAAAGTTCAACTTCTTAATTGCATTTGTGGCTTTTTTTGTTTGTTTGGTTTTTTTTGGGGGGGGGCTGGGGGGTGGGTTTTAATATTGTGTCTATAAAATGCACTCACAGTGCAGCCTTTCCAGAAACTAAAATAGAGATATATGTGTTTCAGCCACCACTGATCTGGTCTGACCTGATCACTGACTGATCATCAGGAAATAAAAATGTTCTGGGCAGTTCAGCTGAATATAGGTTGTGTAACCAAGGGAGAATAAATAAAGGTTGCATCTGAGCAAGTTTACGTAGTTAGTACTCCTTGACCTGTTGTTAAGCTTTATGCTTCACAGCTTTCCTGGGCAACAGTCAACTTTTTAGACTGAAAGGCTGGAGGTCAAACTGATAAGCTAACATTTCTCTGATTTCCGTGCAGGAAGAACAGGGCAGAGGCTCAGCCTTCAAGGTAAAGAAATACAAATACTAGGGATGGTACAGAGCTCTGTGGGGGCTGACAGCCTGCCCTGCTGGGCTCTCTGCTTGCTCTGCACTGGTTTGGGTTGCTCCATGCAGTGCTGCATATTTCAGCACCCCCAGACAGTGAGATAACCAACAGGGAGAGTATGTAAAGAGATGCACCCACGTTCTGCATTGAAATTTGGGGTTCGCATTGAAAGGTAACTCCAGCTTTTGGCTGTCAAAGAATGATCTTCAGCAGAAGCTGCTCCCAGCAGGAATCTTGAAAGGAGATGGTCCTGAATATCCCCAGCCACTGGAAGGAATTGGCTCAAGGTAGGTCCTGGTGTGTGACGTCAGGAACCAAACAGGGGTAAACTATGTCATTTCACAGGGATAAGCTAGGCTGGTTTGTAGGGATGTTGATTTTACTAATGCACCTGTCAAAAACATCAGCTGTGCCTGGGCAGTCTGCTCATGCCTGGCAGATGTGCATGCATGTGGCGCAATAACCGGAAGCATTACTCAGCTCCCTTTCCTGAAGGTCAGTGGCTAGTGCAGAGGCATCCGTGACGTCCTGCAGAGAGACGCCGAGAGAGACAGCGAGGTACAGACACATGCAGTTGGGAGTTCACGGGAAGCTCTTGCAGACCAGTTGTATTTTATTTCTGAAGGTCAGATTGCACCAGGGGGACTTTTCACGTGTGGTGCAAAGGTTCAGAGGCTCTTCTGACTGGTGAGCTCATGGCTGATGCCTTTGGCTCCCAGGGTGGTGACTGAGCAGCTTGGCAAGTGGGACTGTGAGTAGGGGAGCTGGGGAGGCAGCGTGTGTCGGGCTTTCCTGGGGTACCGCTGTACTGGGAGGGAAGGGGGAAGAAAAAAGTTGTGGATTCCATTATTTGTGGGCTTGGCTTTAATGCCTTCTAGAAGGATACCTGCTTGCAGTCAGTCATACCGTAGGCTGTGTTTGTATCTTCATTAATTCGTCCTTTCTTCTACATAAGGGAGAAACATACACGAGAAAATGTGGCATGAAGTTGCTTTTTATATATTGGGCCATTCTCCCAAGTAACAAGTGATAGGACAAGAGGCAATAGCCTCAAGCTGCACCAGGGGAGTTTAGATGGGATATTAGGAAAAATTAATTCACAGAGAGGGTGTTCAGGCATTAGAACAGGCTGCCCAGGGCAGTGGTGGAATCACTGTCCCTGGAAGTGTTCAAAATCTGTGTAGATGAGGCCCTCAGTGACATGGTTTAGTGGTGGGCTTGGCAGTCCTGGGGTAATGATTGGACTTAATGATCTTAGAGGTCTTTTCCAACCTGGCTGATTCTATGATTATGTGATTCTGCAGAAGGTGAAGGACCACTCCCTGCCTTGCTAGAGAAATATTTCTATCTATCTGCTTTATGAAGTGTTTTAATTCTGTTTCTTTCTAGTTGGGGTTAGTTGGTGTGTGGAAAATCCCTGCAAGGAACAGAAACCGAACAAGTGAAAGTGAAAGTAGGACACAGAAAGACATTTTTGAAAGTTGATGTCAGGGCAAACTGGGAGCCCTGCGTCTTGGCAGGGGAGCTGGCAGGAGTCTATGGAATAGGGAGAGAGGGAACGGGGTGGGGGAAGCAGTGCAGAAAAGCTGCCTGGAGACCTTAGCCCACCCCACTCCTGTGCTCTCCTTTCCATTTCACCTCCACTCCTGTCAAATCTCACCCTTCAAATCCACAAACTTCAAATTCTTGTGCTGTGGCAGCAGCAGCACACTGCTATGCAGAAGGGAGTAAAAGGACAGCCACATCCAAAAAAGTCTCTGAGGAGTGCTGGATCTCCTGAGCCTCCTGCAATGGGATTTGAGAGAAAATGCATTGGGAGCATTTTTTTAGGAACAGGCCTGGCGGGTGTTACTGCGTACAAAGAGCAACCATGGTCTGAAGACAGTGCTGGAGCAAGCAAAGCAAGCAAAGGCTTCCTTGCAATTTGTTCGGGCAGTCCAGGGCTGCCAAGCCTTTGTGGACCTTAGTACTGCAACCAGCTCTGTAAAGTGCCTCCTGTAATGATTCATCTGACTGGCTTGCACTGAATACCTGTGACCCCTGCCAAAGAATGAAGGGTGTACTAGAGCAGGATAAATGATCATTTAGTTTCAGTTTGAATACTGTGCTCAAATTCTTCAGGCAGCTCTAAGTGGCTCAGCCACAGACATTTGCAAACTCCATGGCATGCAGGTGGGAGCTCTCATTTGTGTGTATATGCTCCTCAATAGAGGAATGTTGTAGGAGCAGAGAAATGATGAGATGCCTAGAAAAATGTTGTCTAGGTCCAAACTTGGACATTCAAAGGAGACTTGAGCCCATCAGAAAGCAAAGTAAAACCCTCTGAATTTGAATTATTGGTGGCTACCTGTCTCAGCTTCTTTTCTTTGTAGGTGCTGTGTCTCCAGGGCAGAAGACAACTGGTGGTGCCTTTGAGAATGCTCCCCTGCTAATGGTCTCAGCTGTGTCCTGCAGCGTGTCTGTTTAGCTGGCTGTCCAGCACCTCTTGGTCTCTTCTCACTGAGACCACTCCTGCAGCCCACACTGCCAGCACTTGGGCACACTGTACCTATGAGTGGCTGCTTTGCTTCCCTGAACATTAAAGGATGTTATCAGTGCCTTCTGAAGGCACTCTGACTTCTGCAGCTGATCACACACTGCCTAGAAGCTAAATCTTACCCCTTAGCCAGGTGGCACCATCGGCCTTCATGTAATGAGCTGAGTTTATTGTGTCAAGTTGTATTTTCTTCCAATGTGTATTTTAGAAAGATGTATTTTAGAGAAAAACAGTGACTCAGGTCCAAGCCACAGAAGTCAGGGTAATTTCTGTGCTGCTTACCATGCCCCATAAATGTACAAACTTCACGTCCTTGGTTCTGGGCCAAATCTGCGCTTCCTAGCTGGAAGGGTCTCCTGAGAAGTGACTAGACTTCGATCAGATCAGAGATAACAAATAGTTCGACAGCTTTGGAAAAGACCCGTATTTTAATCTGGGTTTCTCTTCTGATGCTAGGGCCAAGCAAGCAGCCAGGCAACGATCAGCTGTTCTGAGCCTGTGGGGTCTTCTGGCTCATCCATCTGCTCCCAAAATGGAGTATGCCTGGTACTGGCTCGATAATTCTGGGAAGTGGATTGAATATGGGAAAAAGGTGAGATCCATCTCCTGTTGATGACAAAAATCTCTTGTTAAGCCATCCTTAGAGAGTTATTTGGGGCACATTGCTCTGCCGCTGGTGTTCCACACATGCCGCTGGGTGCCCTTGCATTGCTGCTCTGTGCACTGGTGGATTTGCCTTATTAATTGTCCCACAAAGCAGTACTGCTATTCTGTGAAAGCTTTCAAAGGACTGGCTTTGAAAGTGGGTGTGTTTTGAGAGATGACAGACATCTTTTAGCTGAAGATGACCATGCAGGCTGAAGGCTGCTTTGTTGGTGGTGTTACAAGCAGCAGATCTCTGTGGGGTACCCATCTGTCACTGAAGAACAAGATGTGTGAAGCCTTAGAGGCTTAGTTCAAAATGGCATTCTGTGACAAAGGCTGGGGAAACACTGTTATTTGTGTCACCTAAATGAAAGGCTGGTTTCTAACAGGTATAATTTCTTTGTTTTTTTCTATAGCATCCAGATCACTGCTGTGCCACGGTAACATCTGAAGTTCTAGAGAGGGAATTCCAAGATGACCAGGAAGGCTTTGTGTTATTCAAGGCTGGTTCTCAAGCATATATATTAAACTTTAATGGTAAAGTATCTCCTTGTTTTAAGTTCGTTACACAGTGTAATTGTCTCTAAGGTAGCCTTCTTCATGCAGAGGATTCATCTGCATGTCTGGGTTTCTTTGAACAGGTCTTTTTCCTCCTGTAAGTTTTCTCCAAGCAGAACTTGACCAGTATGTACATCTCTGCAATTTTGAAATGCTCAAGCTTCTAAACTTGTGCATCTGTAGTCAGAAAAGCATGTCTGACAATATCATGTTTTCAGAAGAAGAGCTGAGAGTAAACACTTTGTGATGTCTGACTTAGCATCTGGGTTTATACAACTAAAGAGGAGAAATGAGAAAAGGCAAAAAAAAAATAATGCACCGAAAAGTCAAATGGTAAAGAAGTCAGCCTATGGTAGATGTCTTGCAAGCTAGTCAGAGAGAGCACGCAGTGCAGCAAAGGAAAATTTAGGGCTGGTTGCACAGAGAGTGAAAAAGGAAAATAAAAAATGCTTTTCTGTTTCTCATTTATTCACCCATCTTAAAATCCCTGTTAGCTTTCCAAGCTTTAAATCTGTTTCCTGGCATGAGTGGAGTGGTGTTTAAAGGAGGAAACAATGGATAATTAGCCATGTCACACAGCATGCGCTCTGTGGTATTGTTACAGGACCAAGAAGAGAGGACAGACTTTCCTCTTAGCACCAGTAACAATCCCGCACTGCCAGGACAGCTAGATTTATGGCTTCCACCCTACTGAAAGCTCTTTGTTGCTGTAGGCCTGACATCAGATGTAGTTTTCTCTGTCCAACAGCCTGGATGTGAATGGGTGTGCAGGTGCAGCTGGTGGTTGGGTGCTTTTGAGCTTCATGACCTGTGTTAGCAGGTGCTGACCTTGCTGGGCTCCAAGCAGAAGCAGCACAAATGGGAATGGTTTCAAAGCGTGGAGTGGGGTGTCTGTGGTACAGAGCACTGTGATGTGATATTCAGGGCTACCTCCTTTTCTCTAAACACTTCAGAGTATGTGTCCCTGGACAAAGGTATCTAATTATTGAGTCATTGTGGTTTTTTTTCAAGGCATGGTCCAAATAAACTTGCACTATAAAACTAAAAGGAAAGTTGCCCGACGGCCAAGATTTCTGCCTTCTCAAGATGGACAAGACGGAAGGTAATATACATTCGTTATTATTTAATAATGCTTCTAGGTGACAGCACCTTCCTGTTGAGAAGTTCCTCCTACCTGCATAAAATTCAATTTTAGACTTCTTAATTTGTAAATACCTTTTGCAGACCCTTTTCAATGGCGAATTCTGCAGTCACAGTACTTGTAAATTATGAAACCCTTCCATGAAGCTTGCTGGAGGAATGTTTGGTGGCAGTCTCTGGCAGCTGTAAGAGACCCCTTGAGTAGGTTTATTCTCTCTGTGAGTGCAAGGCCAGGACACATAGGGCTGACACAACTGTGCTAGGAATTTTTATTCCTTGATTTATGCTCTGACAATACTGAATAAACTGTGCACAGTGTAGGAACAAGGGACTGCCAGTCCTGAGAACTATGGAGCAGACAGATGCTATCTATCCCCTGCAAAGCTGAGGGTAAAATAAAAATGCAGAAGTAAATCCTTCTAATGAAGTGAACTGGATGCACTTATTTGGGATACCTTATCTTATGGCTGTTTTTAAAGAAAGTTGACAGGATTTGAGCATGTCTGGTGTAGAACTTAATTGTGCTACTGCTTTATTCTAAAAAGAGCCATCTTTGCATTAGAAACTCACCAGCAGGCAGTGAACATGAAGCCAGGGGTTCAATTTAAAGGTTACTTCAGCCAAGGGTGGTTGATTCAAAAAGAAAACAAACTGCAGCTCCTGAATGGATTCTAATGCTCCTATTGCCTGGGTTAAAACATGCATGTGCACAGGAGGGCGTTAGTGCTGGAAGTTGTTAAGCAATGACTGGTGCAGTAGTCCCTGCAGGGCACAACTATCCACAGCAGTCTCCTGACATGCTTGGTCCTGGGGACAGGTCTGGCCAGTGACTGAGAGCTGAGTGGCTGCATGGAGGGAGAGGGCGTATGCTTCCGTTTCCCGGCAGAGGTTCAAGCAGCACATGTCAGGTCTAGCTGGAGCAGTTGTATAAACCACCTGGCTAGAGGCATGCTACTTCTCATTTGAAGCTCTCCTACCTGCCAAGAGATGCATTAGTGCCAGTAGGATGTGTGTGGAAAACTGGACTTGAGAAAGGCATGATGGTTATGTGGAAAGTAAAACAAAAATGAAAAGTCTGGGGATATGCTAGGGCTGATATACAGCCAGCAGCTGCATCCTTTGGAAGGGGGATTTGGTTAGGAGTATAGTGGACTGACTTGCTCCTTTTTCTTTTCTGCAGCTCAAACATGACTCTATCCCATTTTGTTTGTCCTCCAGAATGGGACCAATCTGCACTGCCCGATATTGGGTTCAAGGTAGGTCTTTCCAGCTCCTCAATTTGTAGGGCAAACTAGATCCTGTACTCATTTTTCTGAGAACGTGACCCAAGGCGATTGAGATGTTCCCAACTATTAAACAGATCTTATAAAACAAGTAACTATGAGGTGAAACAAGGCTGACAGTTTCACATTCAGAATAGAGCCATGTCTCCTGGGAGGCTCTCTGAGACGCCCAACACATACCACACAGGATAAGAAAGGCCCTTTTGGCCCTTACTGATCTTGTCCTTTGCACTCTCTGAAGGCACCTGATCCTCTGATAAACTGCATCTTAAGGGGGTATTGAAGTATTTCCTCCATTGATTTGAAGCAAAATGTCATTTGGTGTAGTAAAAACTATGGCTTAGCCCTATAGGGAAGGAGCTAGGGTGTCAAGGTGAAACTGATACTCTTTTCCAGCCTGAACATTGCTGTGCACTTCACCTTTAGGTTACTCTGAAGTAAAAATAATGTAGACATGGAGGTATGTCCACCACAGGAAGCTCATGTGGGATTGCATTCATTTCCCTCAGTTAGTGCCTGTGCTTCCACATGGGGAGTGAAGGTGAAGGTGGGGAGAGGAAGGTTAACTGGAAAGACAGAAGCAGCTTGGGATTTTAATGATAGGGCTTTTTGTCTCACTTGAGGAGGTTCATGAGTCCTTTGGAAGGACTAGTTGTTACTGTCAATAGTTCCTTATTTTTGGTGTTTTTAAAATTTTTAGCTGATAGAGGTCAGCTGCACTTCCCTTGAATACAGTAAAATTAAGAACCTGTTTGAGAAGACAATGAAGGATTCCTTTATCCACAGACTGCAGAGGATCCAGAACCCAGCGCTTTGGCAAGTTTTTCAGTGGTTTGTATCTATTCTATTTCATTATCCTTATGGTAGCAGAAGACTGGTATTTCCTGATCTGTTGTCCTCCATAATCTGCGTTAGGCGTTGCCAAATCCAGCAGCCCAGCAGAGGTGAGACTGCCACGTATCTGTCTGCCAGGTCCAGCTAGAAGTGAGACTTAGCACGTTCCCAGTAGGTGCAAACACACATACACACAAAACATGAACATGCACACAGCTGGCCACAAAACCTAACACAGACAGCATGGCGCTTATTCAATCATAAATAGCACCAATGGTCTCATCCTGTCCCCTTCCTCTGGCCAATTGGGATGAAAGCCTGTTACTGGAACATACATACATGCATGCATCCCTGACATCCATCCCATCCTAGGAACTGGTCTTAGACACTCACCCTACTCATGTGCTGGCCCCTGGGTCCTCTTGTCTTCAGTTATGTTCTGCATAGACACGCACCCGTATGCAAATGGAACTCTGTGGACTTACGGTGTCTACAGTGGTTGGTCTGGACCCCCTGGTCCCTTTGGTAAGCAAGCTCAGACCTTCTGGTCTCTCCAGCATCTTATGACTGCTCCAAAAGCTGGCTTCCAGGCCAGTGACCCTCCTCTCTGTCTGTCCAGCCTTATGTTGGCTAGTGATCACACACTGACACTCACACCCTCGCTTGCTGCAGGTGCTGGCACTGTAGGCATATGGTCTTGTGACCCAAGGCCCTACTCCAGTTGCTGCACCCAGACCCCCATACATGCACATGTGCACAGACTGAAGAGTCCATCACCCAGGTAAGAGTTAGAAATGAAGTTTAATGAGAAGATAGGGTAGACTGCATGGATCAGGCACAGGGCATAGCCAAACAAGCCTACTGACTACACAGTTGCCTGTTTTTACACAACCAGCTCTTTGTACCCCCTTATCCACCTATTTTCCCATGTTTGTTCCTCCTCAGACCATCTTGGTCCCTCCCTTCTCCCACCTACAGTTTCTCTGTTAAACATGCCATTATAAGTCCGGTGCAATCCTCAAATACTCTTTCCCTCTGTCCCATAACAAGCCTCACACTCTCATAGGCAGTACTCTCCTCATGTCTGTGAGCTGCTTTGCACCCTTTCCACAGCTCACAGTGCTGAGTGTCTCCGTGGTCCCTGGGGCAGCCCTGGGAGTTACTGGTGCTCCTCTTTTTATTGATCAGTTTTTTTTGGGTTGTTTCTGTTCTTTTGTGTGTGTAGAAATGAGCCTTTTATCATGTAACCTAGCATGGGGGGGGGGGATGTGGAGGGGTGTCTCCTTAGTAGTGTTATTAAAAAACAAAGTTATTTTCCTTCACCATTTCTGAGCTGTGAAAATTCAGATTTATTCTTTTTCTGTTAGCCTCTTTCACATAGGAGTTTGGCTGGGTTTTGGTTTTGTTTTTTTTTTGAAGGACTTTTTATGTGATAAAGATAGTGGTAAATATTATACAATCTTCACTGTGGCGTCATACAGCACAGTTTTATAATCATATTTATGCATTCAGGATTTATATAACCTGGGAACTGACCAGTTCAGTCAGGAGATGTCTGTCTCTTTACGCTCTCATGTGGTATGAAACTGTGGGTGACACAGTCCATAACGATGCTGAGAACATTTTGTTTTGCTAGAAGGAGCCAGCTATGCAGCAGGATACCAACAGAGTGCAAAGCAGGCAGTAACCCCACTGAGAGTGCTTTATGTCACTGTTCCTCCGTGATCCCAAAGTGGGAGGAGTTTTGTTGGGAAATTGTCCTCATTTGAACCAGGGTAACACATCATTCTTTTTTTGTCCCTAGGCAAAAGGAGCAGATGAAGAAGCTCAGCAAATTGGAGTGTGTGGATGAGCGGCTCCTGTTCCATGGGACAAGTCTGTCCCACATGCCTGCCATCTGTGAGCAGAACTTCGACTGGAGGGTGTGTGGGACTCACGGGACAATGTATGGGAAAGGTACGAGTGTGGAAGTGTTAGGTTCAGGGGCTGTAGCAGCACAGGCTGCAGACCCCAGCCAGGTTAGTGGGTGTGAGGTGACTGAGTGTCCCTGACTCCTGCTCTTCTGCTATTAGGGCAGTCTCACCTGCATGCATCTGCATTGCTGCAGGCAGCATCCACATCAATCCCGGTTTGGGAGGTGCTAAAACCAGCCATCTTTGCCTCAGGTACCTGCTCTTCAGCAAAGCTCTTGCACAGGTGGAACTGGGATGTTGGTAGCAAAATGTGTCTGGAGATAGTCAATGCTTTAAAATAAGCTGATGTGGGACCACCTGGCAATGATGTGTATAGAGCTACCTGGGGTTGTTGAATTGCTGGCTGCCGAAGTGCGGATAGCAGATGTTTGTTCCTCGGTTCACATACTGTCTTTCCTGTGTCTTTTTCTGGTCCTTAGGAAGCTACTTTGCCAGAGATGCCAGCTATTCTCACAAGTTCTGTTCCTCTCAAAGTGGTTGCTACAGCATGTTTGTAGCTAATGTTCTTGTGGGAGATTTTGTTCAGGGAAAACCCGAACACCTTCGCCCTCCACTCAGAGACAGCAATTCAAACAGACTTTATGACAGCTGCGTGGATGACCCAACAGACCCTTCTATCTTTGTCATCTTTGAGAAGCACCAGATTTACCCTGCCTATATCTTGGAGTACAGGAGCAATACCCACTGTAGGATCCTGTAATGAATGCTGGATTCTCCTTTGAATTTACACTGAAGAAATTACACTTTAATACATCTTTTTTTTTTTTTTTTTTTTTTTAATGCTATTCAATTTTAGTAGTAGCTTTAGAACATATTGTAATGCAGCAAACCAATATCAGTCCCTTGAAGGATTTCGGGGCATATTTTTTTTGGAAGCAGAAAGTGCTGAACTTTCAAGGGAACTGGAGCACCTCCTGTATGAAGATAGGCTGAGAAAGTTGGGGCTGTTCAGCCTGGAGAAGAGAAGGCTGCATGGAGACCTCATAGCAGCCTTCCAGTATCTGAAGGGGGCCTATAAGGATGCTGGGGAGGGACTCTTCATTAGGGATAGTAGTGACAGGACAAGGGGTAATGGGTTAAAAATTAAACAGGGGAAGTTTAGATTGGATATAAGGAAGAAATTCTTTACTGTAAGGGAGGTGAGGCACTGGAATAGGTTGCCCAAGGAGGTTGCAAATGCTCCATCCCTGGCGGTGTTCAAGGCCAGGTTGGACAGAGCCTTGGGTGACATGGTTTAGTGTGATGTGTCCCTGCCCATGGCAGGTGGGCTAGAACTAGATGATCTTAAGGTCCTTTCCAACCCTAACTATTCTATGATTCTAATCGCCACCTTATTTCTAGCCTGAGATGGGGATGTACCTGCCTTGCATACCCTGATGCAGTGACACCTACCACTGTTGAAAGCCACACTGTTGAATGTATGATTAGCTTGACCCACTGATACAGTCACTTAGGCATGAATCCTACCTGTGATGGTGCTGGTGTGTGACAAAGGGAGACTGGGTGGGGAATGTGAAAGGAGGAAAAGTGAAAGTAACTGCATCATGGTGCACAAGAGAGGAATCATGGCCTGTTTTTCCAGTAAATGGCAGGAAGCTCCTGCATCCTGGAGGATTTTTAATGAATACTGGCAAGGAACATTGCTCCCTGAACACATTGCTGATAGCTCTTCTCATGTTATTCTGTGTCAAGTTTTCCCATCTCCATGGTACCCTCTCCTTGCTCCATCCCCACTGTGTTGATGTTAAGAGAAGAAGGGACATTGCAGGTGATGAAGTTAGATCCCCACCACACCATCATACTAACAATGAGGAAGTTGCTGAATAACTGCACATGGCAGTGTCCCACATGGGCCGTGGAGCCAGTGCTTGCAGCAGTGACCAGTGGGGCAAAGAAGGTTTGTGTGGGGTGGTCACTGATGCACCCACCCCCTTCCCCACTCTGCAGACTGAAGCTGTCTGTGGCTATTTTGAATTGCCCTGCTGCTGCCTGGCACTTCTCTGGGTATTTGAGAAGTGCCCCAGCCTTATGTGCTCCCATTTTGAGGGACAAGGGACAGCTTGGTTGATGGACATAGTTACTTGAAACTTGGTGGGTGGTAGGATAACATTTGGGATAACCAATAGCATGGAAACAAAAATTAATGCTTTATTTTGAAACAGTCTTGCTGTACAAGCTGTTGTAATTCAGCAAAGGAGTCAGAAATGGTTCATGCCATGAGTGGGAAGAACCAAGATTAGGGATGTGTGTAGGATCTCATCAGCTTTCATAAAGCCTGCTGACTTTGGGCACAATCAGTGCCCTTAGAAGATATCAGAAAGGCAGCAATGAGTCCTTGAGCTCCTCTGGTTAATGCGTCCCACCTCTTTTGCAGAAACCTAGAGGTTGTTCTTTTGCAAGGTAGTGATCTAATTTTGTCAACCACAGGCGAGCTTTCACCCAAAATCGCCTTCACCCATGTCATGGTTTAAGCCCAGCTGGTAACTTGGAACTATGCAGCTGCTCACTCACTCCCCCTTTTTCGCTCCCCTTGCTCCTGAAGGGACTGGGAGGAGAATCGAAGGAATGTAACTCCCACGGGTTGAGATAAGAACAATCCAGTAACTAAGGTATAACACAAAACCACTGCTGCTACCACCAGTAATAATAATGATAAGGGAAATAACAACGGAAGAAAATACAACTGCTCACCACTCAACGACTGATACCCAGCCCGACCTGAGCAGTGATCTCACCCTTCTGGGTAACTCCCCCCAGTTTATATAATGGGCATGACGTGCTGTGGTGTGGAATACGTCTTTGGTTAGTTTGGGTCAGGTGTCCTGTCTCTGCTTCCTCCTGGCTTCCCCTCCTCCCTGGCAGAGCATGAGACTCAGAAAGTCCTTGACTGGGGTAAGCATTACTGAGCAACAACTAAAAACATCGGTGTTATCAGCGCTATTCCCAAACTAAAGTTGAAAACAGCACTGCACCAGCTACTAAGAAGGAGAAAAAATGACTGCTACTGCTGAACCCAGGACAACTCACAATCACCTTCCCCTTGCTGCCTTCCAGCTTGCAGGCTCATGAGGATGGGGAGGGACTGAATAATGATAATTTCCAACTGTCACCCTGTGTTGCATGGATTTGCTCCATCAGCTTGTTGGGTAGGTTGCATGCCCAGCCGTTGGGCAGGACAAGGGCTGGGAGATGTTTGGGAATGGTTCTAGTATTAGAGAAAATAATGTTCTGTGGAATTATGACCTTGTACAAACCATCTTCCCTCATTCTTCTCTGCCATGGTAGAAGAAACCATGCACTGTGTGTGAGACAGCTGTTTCCAGCAAGGTGGGCTTTGGGGTATGAGCAGCTGTAACAGTGCACTGTGGTGTGGGATTGCTGAGGTGTAACTACGATGGGCTTTGTAGGTGTTGGAGTACCAGATCTGAAGTAGAAGTGCTTCTTGAGGAGCCCACACTCTCTCAGGCTCCCAATTTTCCACTGTGTCATTCCCGAAAACAGCACTCGCACCTCGAGAAGAACTTTGAATGGTGAAAGATTTAGGATTATATTGGTCAGTGAGGCACCAAGATCAGAAACCACTAGTAAGAATGAAAAGCAACTGAATCTGCGAATACTTCTTCATGGAAGTTTTGTTCAGTGTTACAAACTTGCTAAAATTTCTTCCAGACCTGAACCTTGTGCTACCTGTGGAGTACCTGGGTGCCTCTGAAGTACTGAGCAGAAAACATTCCTCAGCACCCTTTTAGATGAAAAATGCTTGCAAACCATCAGCTACATGTGCAGTTGTTGGCAGGCACTAAGTGTGGATCTGGTCTGTGGTCTTTTCATTATTTTTTTCCCTTAAAAAAGGAAAAGCGTTTTAATATCTCCCTGTCCTGTTGAGAAAAGGGTAAACGTCTTCTGACTCAAATGCATGGCACTGGCAGTTTCAGTCACTGAGATGGTGGTGGAAAAGGTTTGACCTGAGGAACACTGGGAGTAGCCAAACAGATTCCTGTGGAATTTGCTGCTTTCCCTGCCAGCCTAGTGCTGAATGGGCAGGTGTTGGGATAGGCTTATCCTGGAGCAGCAGCTTCATGATCTCCTGGAGAGGCTGCTGCAAGCATCAGCAGTTTCTCCAGTGATTTCTTTACCAGTCACTTTGCAGAAAACAGCAACAATTCAGAAGGATCAATTGCGTTTTGTACCCATATAAATAATGTATTTCTTCTACATACTTAGATGTACTGTATTTGTCTCTGCCTGCCAAGATGTTAGCTTGAGTGATCTTTTCATCATAGTGTATTTCTAATTGATTTTTCTACGGTGCTGTCAGGGCTTCAGTGTCCCTAGCTTTTACACTGTTGGGTTGCATACTCAAGCACTTGCTCTAGGCTTTCTATTAAATAACATCTCAGCAAGTTTTCAGGCCTTCATTTAATTTACTGGTGAAAAATTGACTTTTCAGCATTTTTAAGAATCCTTTTAAACAGTTTTGACAGAATTTATGACAGAGTGATTAAACTTCAGAAACCTAACGCTTGACTGAATGTGTTTGTTAATTTCCAAAACATTTAAACTCCTAAAAATCAACCTAAGCCTATAACCTGGCATGACCACTGTATAGGTGACAGGTGAAGAAAACACAGATATTGGTTTTGGCATGACATGCTCAATGGTTGCATTATTTAACAAGGCTATTTCTGGATTGAAGGAATAATGATCCTGGATCACTCTGTAGCTCTGGTAATGATGGGGGACTGAGGGTTTGGGGGAGGGCAGTAGTCCTCAGTTCATGGCTGCAGGAGACAGATTTTTTAAGAATCAGACTTTTATGGTTCAGGGAAAACTTTTTCTGTTTTTACCCATTATTTTGCAGTCTTTCTTCTGATGAGCCCTATTGTCTGGTGTGTTGAGTTCTAGGCATTATTTCCCTGAGCAACTCAAACTGTCTTTCCAAGGTTACTTTTACATCTAGCTTACAGGTAGGAGCAATACAAAAGCTGACCTGATTCTTACCAAGCTGTTCTTAATAAGCTTAGATTTTCCATCCAGATCCTTTACTGCAATATCAGAGGAACAATTAAGCAGTGCACCAGTGCTCAACCTGTAAATACTTGGGAAGTGTCTATACACGATATCCCACCACTGGAGGAAACTGTGTCTTTACCTCTTCCCAAAGAGAAACTTTATTTCACTGTATGTTCTTTGTTCTTGGAATCTTTTTTTTTTTTTTTTTTTTTGGGGGGGGGGGGGGCAGCTGTATCTTCAGCTTTGATCTCCTTTATTATATTTTTTTCTTTTCAAATGGCTTTCCCTTTATTAAGTCCAAAGGATATGTTAGAAGTTGTGTTGGTCTCTGCTTTCTGTAACACTTTGTGCATGCTTTCACTCTTGCTTATTGCAGAGTCTTTCTGACTGCATTTTGTGGATAGCTTCTTGCATCTTCCAGATTGTTTTCCTTTTGTAAGTTCCTTTAGGTTCATGATTTTTTTACCTGTACTCTGTAGCATCCATCCCAAGCTGTAATCTAATCTTCTGTGCTAAAGGGCAGCTGACCTTCATTTTGCCTCTCAGCTCAAGCAGGTTCTAAGAGTGCTTTCTAAATCCTTTTTCCCCTTCAATCCTCACACAATCTAATGTCCTATTAGCAATTATACAATCTCTCCCTTCATGTAACTTTTTTGACTGAAAGTTCTCACATCTATCATAATGTTGTCAAAAAATGCCTCCTGTTTCTTCTTTCACTGCGCAGCTCAAATTCCTTACTA